TCTGTTTATATTTTTAAATTATGTCAAAAGCTAATAAGTCATGCATTGCTTGAAATAACTTTTACTAAACCAATATAAAAATATAGGTATTTAATCTGTTATGTTCAGTGTTAGTAACTACACGTTAATTTGTGGCCTGTGCTAACCAATCAAGCCGGTGCTAGCTCGAAAATGCACTATTGGTGGCCTTGCGATAAAAGACAGCTTAATGTCGCGGTAAAGTAACAATAAATGAGCGGCAAAGACACTGTATGAAAACATACATGCTCCTGACAGCCAACTATTTAAAATCGATACGGAAGATAAAGGTATTTCTTTTCCTGTGGGTGAAAGGTCAACATTGAAGGGTTAAAGCATGCTAGGGTTCAAGGCCCATGATGCCGAATCGTACAGTGAACAGTTGCGCTCCGTTTTTCATAACTGACCAAAAATCGCAATAATTCTGGCACCGGACTTCCACGCGAGTCGGCATTTGAGAACAGCTCACGATTTAACACTTTTAAATTGCTGCTGTTATACTCACACTTACGGAAAGGATGCTGTTGCTTGCTTTACGCAGTGTGGTTTGCGACGCTAGCACAGCAGCTAACATTAGATAGCCGTAGCACGGTTAGCTAAAGCGGCTAACATAGCTAGATAGCATATATGTTGACGATATTACTGACGTTATGCGTTAACCTGTGATGTTAGCTCTATAACTGTCTGTAGAGTCTCACAAACATAGCAGCATCTTTACATACTTGCCGATCTTATGTCTTATGCTCCCAGCTCCACACGACAGTGCTAGCGAGCTAAATTAGCTTTTTGCTAGTTGGTAGCTAATGGCAGCTTCCCTACTGTAGACCTACTGAACACTCCCTCCCTTCCTGTGTTACTGGCCGCTCACGGATCCTTCTTTAACCTCTCCTGTCCGCATAACTAATAAAGTCTTACCTTTCGACGAGCTGTTGGGTCAGATATGTTGCTGCCTTAAATAAATTAATATTTTTAAGTGTTTGCTGCAGGTAGTGGGAGGGTCAGAGTTCGTGACCTTTTTTTTTTATCAATAAATAAGACCCGCACATGCGCATTTGGGCAACATCATTCATATCGTGTACACTAAAACCTACAGCAATTGTCATGTTTAGACGTCACATTCCTAGTAAACCGTTCATAATGTAGTCTTCCTTTCATTATACTCTCTCGTGACAAAAATATTTAATTTGATTAATTTTTTTCTCAATGACAATATACTTTAAATTGTTAAATCTTTTTTTTTTTGTTATTTTTGTCACATAGTTTTAGGTTTAAGTTTAATTCTGAAATTATTTTTAAAACAGCTTCTGTCACACCAGCTATTATTCCATTGCCTACAATGTCCTAGACCATTTTCTCACAATCCCTGCACTTGAATGATTTAGCAAGAGTACACACAACTGGGCTTAAATTTGTGACATATTACATTAGTGAGGATTAGAGATTGCACAACATTTTTCTTATCTGTTGGGTTACGA